TGGATTATATGCGTGTGTGTTACAGAGGGTGCGAACCCCCGTCCCTGAGGAGGGGGTGGCTTATATAGAGTTTGCCAGAGTCCTCCCGCCCTCAATTACAAAGGGTTTAAGGTACATAAAGATGGGGACGTTACTGGTAACGCCTGCAATAAAGATACATAATGACCATTAAATCTATGACTTAATTCCCGACCGTTGCAGAGTGGAGTGGCTCTAGATCTCCTGGTAGTCGAGTGATTGTCCATACGGTCGAGTGTCTTCGAGACTGTCGAGTGGAACATAGCTTCATGGTCGAGTGGATGATGATTTTTCTTTGAGTGCTTCTGGCTCCTTTAGAGATGTCCTTGGGGAGGGTATCTTGGACAGATCCATGACCCTACCCTAGGTACATAGTTTCATCACTAATCGTATGACCGGAGACAGAAGTTTATTCGTCGATCTTAAATTGATTACTTCCTCAAGGAAGCATCTCACTTTTGGCGACACCAACAAAGGAAAGGTAATTGAGTTAGGTTAAGTTGTCATATCTAAAGAGAAACATATGGATAAGGTCATGCTTGTTCAATCTCTTGGACTCAATCTAACGTCCATTTGAAAGCTTTGTGATGTGGAAATGATGGTCTTATTCACAAAATCCAGATGTGTGGTTATCATGAAAAATGATAACACTTTGTCTTCGAAGTTGTTAGAAAATGTGATTTATATATTATGGATTTCTTTAAGGGCCCCTCAGTTATCACTTGTTTGCCTGCAAAGACTACAGAGGGTTGGTTACGGCACCAAAGGCTTGGCCATGCAGGTGCAGGAAACTTGCAGGCTTTGCTGAAGAAATAGCACATCGTAGGAACTGTCTTAAATTTGATAAAGATCGCCTTTGCGGTGCATGACTGCATGTGAAGCGGACAAGCTCGTGAAGAAATCGCATTCTGCGAAGACTAACCACGACAAGGCCACTCGAAATTCTTCACATGGACATGTTCGGCCCGCACAACTACTCTAGCTTTCGTGCCAACAACTATGGACTCGTCATTTTCTATGATTTTCCCCAATTCACCCGAGTTTTCTTTCTCGAGAATAATTTCAAAACCCAGGAAATCTTCAAACATTTCGTCAGGAAGGCTCAAAATGAATATGAAGTCACTATTAAGCACGTGAGAAGTGAAAGTGGCATGGAGATATCTAAGAATTTCTTGATGATTATGGCATCACCCTGGGACGGAGCTCCCATGTAGCCACTGGTGTCAATTGACACCTGTGCCTTCTGGCCTTTCAGCTAATAAGTATTAGCAAAAATGCATTTGACCCCAGCCCAAAAATTCCATTGACCCCAGCCCAACAGCATAGCAGCTAATCCCTAAAGCCTTAGCCCATAAGATCCATTAAGTTCTAAAAAAATCAAGAGCCTGCCGCAGCAAACAATGACACAAGGCCAGGCCCAATGTGTACGCACGTCTCTATGTTTTTTTTCGAAAAGGAGGAATACCCCCGGCCTCTGCATCTGGTCGATGCATACGGCCACTTTATTAATTATTAGCACAAAACCTTACAAAGTCGTACAACAGTAAGACCAAAGCCACCATCTTCGCAACCTCTGTCGCTACTCCTATCTAACTGATGAAGGGGCGCTGATGGTCTGGGCCTAATACCAAACAGACCTCGCAGCCAAACCTAACATCTAAGACCTGAGGTCCCAACCTGGACGCCTGCCGGGTATGGGCACCCACCAGTCCGGCGTGCTCCTCAACCAGGCCGCCCGCCGGGTATGAGGCCGCCACAACCACCTACCACATATCCATCTTCAGAGCTGTACTGTTGTAACTGCCTTGCTCGGTCTCGCTGCCGCCGACGCCACCACGACGCCAGACAGCGTCGACCTCCTGCGCGTGTCCGTCACCACACATCTGACGCCAAGCCTCCGCTGCTCCATGCCGCCAAGAGCCGCCGCCAAGAATATGTCGAACGAAACACCGCTCCACCGAAGGGAGGCAGCACACCCCCACCCCTCACCTGCAGACCCTTCCATCCGATCCCAATGTCCTTGGCGTCGCCTTCAGGAAGGTTACGGTGCCTAGGGCGCCGCCGACGCCCGATCCGCATCGGATCTTGGGCTTTCACCCGGACATGGGTTGGAGAGGAGAGATGGTGCCCTCAGCAACGCCCCCAAGGAGGAAAGCGGCGCCAAAAATCGGCGTCGCCACTGCCGGTCAGCCTAAGGCAGCCAAGGTTTCCCCCGGACACCGATCTGCTCCACCAGAACACACCGGAGGTGGATCCGGCAGGATCCAAACCGACCCGGGGACTGGGAAGGGATGCATGGAAGGGAGAGGGGCAATACCTCCAGATCTGGCACGCCTACGGCTCGCCCTCCTCACGGCCGAACCCACAGGCACGCCGCACGCCACCAGATGCGCCGCACCAGATCGAAGATGGCCAGCCTTAGCGCCGCCCCCCACTCTCCCGACGAGGGAGAGGAGGAACCAGCGCCGCCGCCGATCCCGGGGCCGCCGCCCCGGCTTGCCCGCGCCTGGCCAGACGCAGCCGCCGCCGGATGCAGGCCTTCGTCCAGGGCCGAAGACTTGCGGCGCGCGACGAGGGTGCCCCGCCACCGCCGTCCGCCGAGTGGGCTTTGCCCGTCGGCCTCCTCCGGCGGTGGCGGGCGGAGCGAGGGAGGAAAGGGGAGCGGGGGCGGCGGCGGCTAGGTCGCCCGAGCCGCCCCCCAGGGAGCGACGCAAGCGACTTCTCGTCAAATAGATTTGCTGTACGCCTGTACCTGTACGCGAACAGACGGACGCCCTCGTCTCTTCCCCTCCTCATCTAGATCCCTATTTCCGCAGCCGCCGTAGTGAATCGGCGACGAACGACGGTGAACTCGACGCCATTTCATCGGGTGAATGTTGATATCGGCCGACCATCCGCCAGTGCAAAATCTTTAATTTGCAAGTGTTGGTTCTTCCCATCCCAGGTAATATGCACCCTCTCTCTCGGTCTCTAGACTGTCTACAATTCTACTTGTGCTTTGATTTCATGATGGCTATTGGCTAAGTAATTTCTTTTCTTTGATTTGCCAAGGACAAGGAGGAAATGGATAAATTTTTGTTGAAAGGGAAACGACCAGCACCAGATAGTAATGTGGCAGGGACTTCAAGGCCAGTTAGACCAAGACAAGGTCTTGCATCAAATATTGGTAGTACTCCTCCGCCTCTGGCAGAAATTAACTTAGATGCACTTCCTCATGATCCAGCTGATCGAAAAAGAATACGGCAGTACACAAAGAATCCTAAGAAGCAAGATGAGTTTTATCCGGATGATTTCAATTCAACACAATTAATGAATCTTGGTCATGAACTTCGGATTTTCATAGACAATGTCCGAGCAGACCAAAGATTTGCCAATTTGAATGGCATTGCTGATCTTGCCAAAGTGTTGGTGGAAACTAAAAAGCATCTTGATTTTCCTTTGGTGTATCAACTTCTCAAGTTGGTGCTAATTTTGCCAGTTGCCACAGCGTCAGTGGAGAGATGCTTTTCAGCAATGAATATCGTCAAGAATGTTTTGCGGAACAAAATGGGTGATGAGTTCACGAGTGATTGCCTGATTTGCTATGTGGTGAAAGACATATTTTCTACAATAACGAATGATGATGTGATTGATCTATTTAAGAAGATGGAAGATCGAGAAGGGAAGTTATAAAATGTGAGTCTCGGATCACTTTATTTTTTTTCCTTAATGATACTTATTTTCTGTTTTATTTGTTTCTTACTATTCTTGTGAATATAATATGTTCTTTTGTTCATCCTTTCCAGAAAGTTACAAGTGAAACGTTCAAAGTCATTTTTTTGCCTACTATTTCCGGAATATGTAAAGAAGTGTTACTTTATGACTTCGTTCAGCCAATACTCGCTACTCGGTATGTAATTTTTTGATGTAATAATAAAATCACCAGCTCGTTGCATATTGTTGCTCTTTATATCGCTCTCGGCCATTATCTATGTTGTTGCACCACTATAATTTCTGCAAGAGGCTTAGCGTGGGCAGCGGTTGACACCAGTGCCCATTTTTTCTAGCTTCGTCCCTGATCACCCATAACTTCTTCGCAACTTATACTCCACAATAAAAAGAAGTGGTGGAGAGGGAGAATCAGATGCTCATTAAAGTGGTATCATGCTTAATAAGTACAAGACCTCAATGCGATTTTGGGCAGACGCCATCAACAAAGGTCTATATGATCTCAGCAGGATCTCTCTCCATGTTTCTCTCATCTGACTTGTCGAATAGTAGAAGAGAATTTACTAAAAGTCAGAGCTCCATGCCTTATCCACAATATAATCCATTGCATCTTGGCCCCTTTGGCATCAGGTCGCCGCATCGCCATTGCCATCCAGAAATTCGATACTCCACAGTCCACAGACCACACTGAGTGGTGCAAAGGAGCTCGGCATTTGTCCGAACGCTCCCGTATCACTTTTTTTCATAGTTTTAATTAGCCAGCTATAGTTTCGCTATAGCCCGCTATAGCCTTTTCAGCAGGGTGCTGCTAAATGATCGTCTTCACAAATAGCCCGCTATAGCTCGTTTTAGCGCGCTATAACTGATTTAGAGACCCGTCGCTATTTTCCATAGCCTGCTATTTAAAACATTGCCTTTTCCGGTCAAATTGCTCGAAGATAATCCTGCCGGTGCACATTTCCATGGCTATATATGCAACGCGCCCTGTGCCCAACTCTAAGCAAGCAAGCACAACTCAAAAGTCAAAGCCTCGTATACGAGAGCAATCATAGCTACTCCCTTCGTTCGGAAATATTTGTCCTAGAAATGGTTGTATCTACTAGATACAACCATTTCTAGGACAAATATTTCCGAATAGAGGAAGTACTAATTAAGCTCTCTAGCACTAACACTGAAGACCGGGCCGGCCTGATGGAGCAGGTGACGAAGCTAGCGGGGCGGGGCAGCGGGCGGTGGTGATCTTGGGCATGAGCACCTGCTGCATGTGCCACACGATGACGAGCCTCCTCCGGGATCTCGGGGCGAACCCGACGGTGGTGGAACTGAACGAGGACCCTAGAGGGAAGGAGATGGAGAAGGCGCTAGCGCGGCTCATCGGCCGGAACCTGACGTGCCGGCGGTGTTCATCGGCGGCAGGCTCGTCGGATGCACCGACGAGGTCATGTCCCTTCATCTCGGCGGCAAGCTTGTCCCACTCCTTCGTAATGCAGGTGTTGTCTGGGACGTGGATTTTTAGAGCACCTGCACCCAGGCCCTGCTATCCTAGCTCTCCAATACCGCTTTAAGATCCGTGTGACACAACTAAGTTTCTATATCAAATTTTCTTTTTTTTTGCTTCTCCCACATAGAACATATCTTGAAGTTGAAACCTATGCAGGATGGCAAAGCTTTCTAATTAGAATCTAGGATAAATCTTTCAGATTTTTTTGTCCGACGTAAATACTAAAAATATGATTTTTTTCTAATCAAACAAAACGTATTTTATATATTTATGTTTGACAAAAAAATCTGAACGATTTATCCTAGATTCTACTCAGGAAGCTTTGCCACGCTGCATAGGTTTGAACTTCAAGATATATTCTATGTGGGAGAAACAAAAAAGAGAAACGTATTTGCACGAATCTTAAAGCGGGAAATGGATGGCTAGATAGAGAGGGCCTGGGTGCATGTGCTCTAATATATATTTTCGGTGCTGTCTGGGTGTAGTGCGTGCGAGGGCTTTGTAGATATTCGGCCTGATGCATTGGGCGCCAGAGAAGTATGCGTACGTGCTCTGTTATCCTTTTCTATGATGGAGACAAAGGAAACCATGCAGGTATTTTTACTGTTGATGGGAGTACCTGTCCTGTCAAAGTTTTAAGCATTATAATTGGTGGTGTCTTAGTCAAACTTTGTGATAGTCGTCAAAATTATATTTAATACGAATAGTACCAAATAAATACAATATAAATATATATTACATGATGGATCTGATGATATGAATGGTGAATTTTTTTTCTTTAACCTTGCTGAAACTTCAAATAAATTGACTTAAGACAACACTATTATGTGAAGTAAAAAAGGACTTTTTTTCTTTTGAGATCACAACGGGCGGATACATGAACTTTAAACTTCAACTATCAACAATTTAAATTTTGTATTTGAACTTTCAAATAATATAATTTTTGAAAATTTTGAACTAATAAAAATACTAAACTTTCAAAATTGTGATGAAATTTGCATAGAAATTAAATATATGAAAAACACATACGTGTGCCCCACCATGAAACTCTTCCTTGCGCTGATGCAGCTCCTCTGAAGAAAGTAGTGTATGCCCACCTCACATGGGTGGGGCGCTTGTGTTAAATCCCTCGGCCAACCGAAATATAGCTTGTGCGCGCGTGATGACCCCCTACAGAGGGCCCCAATAGTGCGGGAACCCATTTTTTCCTTTTGGTTTTCTAGGCGGTTTTCTCAAGAAAAAAACTAGCTGCAGGATTTATTTTATATTTAAAATGTGTTTCATTTTTTAAAAATGTACACGGATTTAGAAAAAATGTTGGTGCATTTTAAAAATGTTTTTGAATTCAAGTATGTTCATCAGTTTTAAAATTATTCACAAATTTTAAAAACGCTTGCGTATTTTAGATAATGTACATGAATTATAAAAATACTCATGTATTCCTAAAAACGCTTTGTTATTTATTTATTTTTATAATTTTTTAAAGAGGCCAGTCGAAAATACAGAAGTAAGAAAAAAAAGATATGATCATGCACGGGCCAGGAGAGACCCTAGCCGCCCCTCCTCCTCCCAACCCTAGCCGCCCCTCCTCCTCACCCCCTCCCCCCCTATTCCCTTCCTCGCCGCTGCCTGAAGCAGCCGCCGGGCAAGCCCGGGGAGCCAAGGATGGTGGCGGCGGGGCCTCGGTTGCTCTGCCTCTGTGTGGGGAACCTCGGATCTGGAGCGGCAGCTCCATTGGCGCCCCAGCCGCGCGGGCGGTGGATCTGGCGTCCCGGCCATGCGGGCAGCGGGATCCGGTGGTCGTTGGCGGCAACGGTGGCTTCTACGACGGTCGGTGCGCGCGATCTGGCGCCTCCCCTCCTCCCCTGTTCGGCATGCGGGCCAGCCTGGTCGGGCCGCACTTCTTCTTGGTTGCCGGTTCTGTACAGGAGGCGCTGCTAGTGTCGGGGATCTAGTTCGGGCGAAATCCCTAGCCGGGCATGACCGGCCACATCGACGGCGACGCCTGAGGGCATCGTTCCCCTCCTTGGAGGCGTCGGTATGGACTGATCTCCTCACTTCCCCTTCCTGTAGGTCTCCCGGACGAAAGCCCTAACTATGTTGGGCGGCGACGGCGCTCATGGTGTCGTTCCCTTCTTGAAGGCGACGCTTTGGGAACCTTGGGGTTGGGTGGCGCTTGTGGGTGGTGGGCGACGGCGGTGGTGCGGCGCTATCCTAGCATGGATTTACGTTTTGCTTGGAGATGGACTCGCGTAGGTGGAGGTCATCGTCTGGCGTCATGGTGGCGTCAATGGCATAGGGCTTGCCAAGGCTCGCGTAGGTGGAGGTCGTCGTTTGGCGTCATGATGGCGTCAATGGCGGAGGAGCAGCCAAGGTTGTCACCTCAATCTGCTCTGAAGATGGACCAGTGGAAAATGGTGGCGACGACACATGTGAGTGCGTCGAACCGGTTTGAGCCCCGGACCCGGTAGATGGCTCGGTCGGGGCCTTCGGCTTTAGATGTTAAGCTTAGGTGAGAGGTCTGGGTATGTGACCCAGCTTGCACCCCTTCATTATTTGGATAGAAGTAGTGGCAGATGCTGCCAAGATGGAGGATTCAGGCATATTGTTGTTCTACTTTGTAAGATTCTCGAGAATAATCAATAAAATGGCCGCATGCATCTTCCAGATGCAGAGGCCGGGGGTCATCATCCTTTTCTAAAAAAAGAAAAAAAGATATTGCTACAAGAAAGACTGCGGAAATTAGATGATGAAAAAAAATTACCCTCAAAGTTGCATCTCCACGTGTTTAAGATGTCCAGTCCATGGATGGTCGCCCTGTGCGTTTGGCGATTGATACGTCAATTTTGCATCATGCTTTTATATCGATATTTATTGCATTATGCGCTGTTATTTCACTTTATGTCATAATATTTATGGCTATTCTCTCTTATTTTACAAGGTTTACATAAAGAGGGAGAATGCCGGCAGCTGGAATTCTGGTCTAGATAAGGAGCAAATATTAGAGACCTATTCTGCGCAACTCCAAAAGTCCTGAAACTCCACGGAACGTCTTAAAAGAAATAAAGAAAAATCCATGCCAAAGATGAAGGCCAGGGGGCCCACACCCTGCTCGCGAGGGTGGGCCCCCTAACCCCCCCTAGGGCGCGCCCCCCTACCTCGTGGCCTCCTGGTGGCTCTCTGATGCCCATCTTCTGATGGGTTTCGTAGTAATTTCAAAAAATTTCCTACGCACACGCAAGATCATGGTGATGCATACCAACGAGAGGGGGAGAGTGTGATCTACGTACCCTTGTAGATCGACAACGGAAGCGTCAACTTGGTTGATGTAGTCGTACGTCTTCACGGCCCGACCGATCAAGCACCGAAACTACGGCACCTCCGAGTTCTAGCACACGTTCAGCTCGATGACGATCCCCGGACTCCGATCCAGCAAAGTGTCGGGGAAGAGTTCCGTTAGCACGAGGCGTGGTGACGATCTTGATGTACTACTGTCGCAGGGCTTCGCCTAAGCACCGCTACAATATTATCGAGGACTATGGTGGAAGGGGGCACCGCACACGGCTAAGAATATGATCACGTGGATCAACTTGTGTCTCTAGGGGTGCCTCCTGCCCCCGTATATAAAGGAGCAAGGGGAGTAGGCCGGCCGGCCCTATAGGCGCACCAAGGAGGAGTCCTCCTCCTAGTAGGAGTAGGACTCCTACTAGGAGGGGGAAGGAAGTGGGGAGGGAGAGGGAAAGGGGGGCGCCGCCCCCCCTCTCCTAGTCCAATTCGGACCAGGGGGGAGGAGGCGCGCGGCCCACCTTTGGCTGCCCCTCTCTCTCTCTCCACTAAGGCCCATATGGCCCATTACTTCTCCCGGGGGCTTCCGGTAACCCTCCGGCTCTCCGGTTTTCTCCGAAATCACCCAGAACACTTCCGGTGTCCGAATATAGCCGTCCAATATATCAATCTTTATGTCTCGACCATTTCGAGACTCCTCGTCATGTCCGTGATCACATCTGGGACTCCGAACTAACTTTGGTACATCAAAACTCATAAACTCATAATATAACTGTCATCGAAACCTTAAGCGTGCGGACCCTATGGGTTCGAGAACAATGTAGACATGACCGAGACACGTCTCCGGTCAATAACCAATAGCGGAACCTGGATGCTCATATTGGCTCCTACATATTCTACGAAGATCTTTTATCGGTCAGACCGCATAACAACATACGTCGTTCCCTTTGTCATCGGTATGTTACTTGCCCGAGATTCGATCGTCGGTATCTCAATACCTAGTTCAATCTCGTTACCGGCAAGTCTCTTTACTCGTTCTGTAATACATCATCCCGCAACTAACTCATTAGTTTCAATGCTTGCAAGGCTTAAGTGATGTGCATTACCGAGAGGGCCCAGAGATACCTCTCCGACAATCGGAGTGACAAATCCTAATCTCGAAATACACCAACCCAACATGTACCTTTGGAGACACCTGTAGAGCTCCTTTATAATCACCCAGTTACGTTGTGACGTTTGGTAGCACACAAAGTGTTCCTCTGGCAAACGGGGGTTGCATAATCTCATAGTCATAGGAACATGTATAAGTCATGAAGAAAGCAATAGCAACATACTAAACGATCGGGTGCTAAGCTAATGGAATGGGTCATGTCAATCAGATCATTCAACTAACGATGTGATCCCGTTAATCAAATAACAACTCTTTGTCCATGGTTAGGAAACATAACCATCTTTGATTAACGAGCTAGTCAAGTAGAGGCATACTCTTGACACTCCGTTTGTCTATGTATTCACACATGTATTATGTTTCCGGTTAATACAATTCTAGCATGAATAATAAACTTTTATCATGATATAAGGAAATAAATAATAACTTTATTATTGCCTCTAGGGCATATTTCCTTCATCTTCTACTATATGAGGTCTTTCGATGAGAAAAAAATAAGAAGGAACTTTTCGGGACGAGACTCTGCCGCCACGAGGCGGAACCTTGGCGGATCCAATCTAGAGCTCCGGCAGAGCTGTTCTGCCAGGGATACTTCCCTCCCGGAGGGGGAAATCATCACCATCGTCATCACCAACGCTCCTCTCATCGGGAGAGGGCAATCTCCATCAACATCTTCACCAGCACCATCTCATCTCCAAACCCTAGTTCATCTCTTGTATCCAATTCTTGTCTCAAAGTCCGGGATTGGTGCTAGTAGGTTGCTAGTAGTGTTGATTACTCCTTGTAGTTGATGCTAGTTGGTTTAATTGGTGGAAGACCATATGTTCATATCCTATATGCATATTATTACCCCTTTGATTATGAACATGAATATGCTTTGTGAGTAATTACGTTCGTTCCTGAGGACAAGGGAGAAGTCTTGCTATGAGTAGTCATGTGAATTTGGTATTCGTTTGATATTTTGATAAGATGTATGTTGTCTAGCCTCTAGTGGTGTTATGTGAACGTCGACTACATAACACTTCACCATTATTTGGGCCTAGAGGAAGGCATTGGGAAGTAATAAGTAGATGATAGGTTGCTAGAGTGATAGAAGCTTAAACCCTAGTTTATGCATTGCTTCGTAAGGGGCTGATTTGGATCCACATGTTTCATGCTATGGTTAGGTTTACCTTAATACTTTTGTTGTAGTTGCGGATGCTTGCAATAGAGGTCAATCATAAGTGGGATGCTTGTTCAAGTAAGAACGGCACCCAAGCACCGGTCCACCCACATATCAAATTATCAAAGTATAGAACGTGAATCATATGAGCGTGATGAAAACTAGCTTGACGATATTCCCATGTGTCCTCGGGAGCGCTTTTCCTATTATAAGAGTTTGTTCCGGCTTGTCCTTTGATACAAAAGGATTGGGCCACCTTGCTGCACTTTATTTACTGTTGTTACTTGTTTCTCGTTACAATTTATCCTATCACAAAACTATCTGTTACCACTTATTTCAGTACTTGCAGAGATTACCTTGCTGAAAACCGCTTATCATTTCCTTTTGCTCCTCGCTGGGTTCGACACTCTTACTTATCGAAAGGACTACGATAGATCCCCTATACTTGTGGGCCATCAGAGATCACCTATATGAATGTATGTGGGAGCAGGAGGAAACCTTTATGAGTACGGTTGACCAGGCTTGGCAGAAGGATCAGCCGGCGACTACAGTGGCCGAACTAGCAGCTAAGATGACTACGGTAGCTGCGGCATTGAAACATTGGGGACACACAACCTTTGGCTCGGTCCGCAACAAGCTGCGGGAGCTGACGAAGCTATGTACCTAGGGTAGGGTCATGGATCTGTCCAAGGTACCCTCCCCAAGGACATCTCTAAAAGAACCAGAAGCAGTCAAAGAGAAATCATCATCCACTCGACCCAAAAGTTATGTTCCACTTGACGGTCTTGAAGACACTCGACCATACGAACAACCACTCGATCACCAGAAGATGTGAAACCACTCACTCCGCAACGGTCGGGATTTAAGTCATAGCTTTAATAATCATTTATAGCACTTTACTTCGGACGTTACCAGTAACGCTCCTCCTTTATGAACATTGAACCCTGTGTAACGGAGGGGAGCTGGGGTCCTGGCGCACTCTATATAAGCCACCCCCCTCCTTTGGGACAAGGGTTCGCACCCCCTGTAACTCACACACATATATCCAGTCGACCGCCTCCAGGCTCCGAGACGTAGGGTTGTTACCTCCTCCGAGAAGGGCCTAAACTCATAAAACTCGCGTGTACAACTCCTCCATAGCTAGGATCTTGCATCTACATTCCTACACCCCATTCTACTGTCAGACTTAGAACCACGACAGTTGACGCCCATCGTGGGGCCGGTGTCTTAGCGACTTTTTGGAGAAGTTGCATTTTTTTCCGATCCCCTTCATCATGGTTTTAGGCGGAGGTTTGGCTGAGGGCCGCGAGATCCGTCTCGACGCGCTCGTGTTTGTCACCGACGACTCCGCTTGGCTTCAGGAGGCTCCACTCGATGTCGACGCACTCCCCGTCTGCGGGGCGACGCACTTTCGTGTGTGCGTCTGCGGCGTCCTCCTGCGGCAGCCGTCGACCCAGTATCGATCAGCTCCTATGGCTTCCCCCTCCCTGTGGCCCGCCGGAGCAAACGTTCCGGTCGGTCGAGGCTTCAGCGGTGGGTGAAGCATGCGGTGGCTCATCAGTTGGCCACCCCTCAAGTCGCGGCAATCAAGCCCGACGAAACCCTCTACGGCTTGTTCGGTCTGACGACTGGATCCGTAGAGACCGCATTCGAGTGCGATAGCAGCGACCCCGCGGCAGAAGTTTTGATGGTCAATGGACCATGCAGTCCTCCTGGCTTCACCCGTGAAGACGGAGGCGATGGGAACGGCGATCCTTCGCGCGTTCATGAAGAGTACCGCCCCGAACCCCTCTCCTCGCAGCAGAGAGAAGAACTTCGCTGCTGGAACATGGATGCACTTCACACTCCTATCGTTGGAGAAACCCCTGAGGCCCAGGCCTTGGAGGAGCCGCGCCTGGCCAACTTGGCTGAGCGCACCCGACTTGAGAATCTCCAGCGTGCACTCGACGAGCGTGCTCAACAGCGTGCTCCTGAATACAGTCGACGTCAACTCTTTCTACCTCCGACTCAGGTATACCGAACTCCGATCCAGAATCTCCCAGCTGCAGCCCAGATAGCGGAGTCGATCCAACCTTCCCAATCAGAAGCTGGTCGAGGCCTGGTGCAGATCCGAGCTTTGCTCCGTGCAGTAGGAGAGCAGAATACAGCAGTATCTCAGTCGCGGAATAGGATCCATAGCAGGTCCGTGGTTGCAGACACAGTTTAGTCGGCTCACAGCCCAAGATCGCCCCCGAGGCGTGAGGGAAGTGGAGACCGATGAGATCAGTATAGAAACCATGAGCAGTATGATCATCGAGTCGATCGCGATGATCGTCATCGAGTGCCCACACCTCTCCTAAGGAGTGGGTCGTACGTGCCTCACCAACATGATGACAGACACCCTCACGGTATGGGGCGAGGGGTTCCAGTCGACCCCAGAGAG